GGGGTGGGGGAGAGCCCGGTCTCACCCCCCTCTGTAGGCATCCGCCATGTGGGGCCTTGTTATGAAGCTCCATGGCTTGGTTTTGTGGTCGTTTGGTGTGCCTTTTCAAGTACCGTGTTTATTTTACTACTGTAGTAAGCGCATGGGCGGGCGTGTGGGTGTTTTAGGCACTTTAGTGTTGATAAACGATAGTGGATCCTGTGCGCAGCGAAAATGACCACAGTCAGAGGCAAAAGAGAAGTAATCAACTGTTTTCGTGTAAAGATACAGTCTCTTGAACAGACCTAGCGTAAGCTCTGTTGATACAAACCATAGTAAAGCAATAGATGGTATATTCAGTTTTTAAAGTGAACTTAGGTCAAGGCAATAAGGAACCAAAATCAGCCTGTGACTGCATAGCACTGAATTTTCATGTTTTAAAGAAATAAAGCTTCTGTCTAACTTGGTAAAAACTTCTGCTGGATTTTTCAACAATACACGGGTGCCCGTTGGCCTTATTTTGAAGGATTAGTACAACTATGTCATAGTAAAGCCTCTCTTCAACTGTCAGGAACAGTCTAGGCATAGATTTAGATCTGATTTCCTGGCAATGGGCTTGTCTGGCAGACTGTGTGCCTGCTTTCCTCTAAGCACTTGTGTAGTCACATAGACTTGAATCTCCCAAGAAGTCTTCCCGTGTATCCAGAATTAGGTCTGCAAGGCTGTTGCCTGTGTTTCTTCTCACCAATGCTTCCTGATGCAACAACGACTGCTGACTTGGTGTCCTGTCATTCTGTTGAGGCTCTGTACATGAGCACTGGGGACAGCCCACTTCCATGTCACCCAGCTGATTTCCTCCCCTTCCCTTTCACCTTGTGAGAGCTGCAACGATGGTTACAATGCTTCAAACTCTTGTATCCTACTGAGACCTCCTGTATGTGCTGGGAGTGGGATCAAATAAAATAAAGCCACTCTTCTGCATTCACGCTCTCCCCTATATTTAATTTTTTATTTATTTATTTATTTTTAGATATAAGGAAGAGGTTCTTTACTGTGAGGGTAGTGAGGCACTGGAACAGGTTGCTCAGAGAAGTGGTAAATGCCTCATCCCTGGCAGTGTTCAAGGCCAGGTTGGACAGAGCCTTGGGTGACATGATCTAGTGTGAGGTGTCCTCGCCCATGGCAGGGGGGTTGGAACTAGATGATCTTAAGGTCCTTTCCAGCCCAAACCATTCTATGATTCAGGGTTGGTCTAGGCTACAAAGAAGCCTCAGCATCAGGAGGATGCACACTGTGACTTTCTGGTGCAATCCAGACAGTTACCAGTTTAGCGTTGTGCTGTCTCTCTTGAAAAACTTGCCTGTTTTGTTTGCCTGTTCTGGAAGTGGTAAAGTTCACCTTGAATGCATATCGTCCATTTCTTGTTCTGCTCTAGGACCCAGATAAAGACACAGAGTGGAATGACATCCTGCGCAAGAAAGGTATCCTTCCTCCAAAGGAAAACCTGGAGGAACGGCAGCGTGCAGAGGAAGAGGAGCAGCTTGCCATCCTTCAGAAGTCTCTTGGTGAGCAGCAGGAGGACAAGTTTTGGAATGGCTTCTGGTGAAAGCTTGTACAAGAAACAGCCATCAGTAGTGTTGATGTGCCTGTAAAATATGTCCTTTTCGAAGTCTGTAAGGGATACCAAAATTTTTTCTTGTGTAGGGTGGTCATCTGTTAAGAGTCCGATACATTCCTGAACACAAGGAAAGCATGTGTTCCTGGTGTCAGCTTCATATTTTTATAGAAGTAGATGTTTGAAAACTGAAATAAGAACAGTGTGAAGGGAGTCTGCCATGTGAGTGTGCAAGCAGAAGTATTTATGACATTACCTGTTGTATGCTTTCTCCTTCCCCTGTTGTTCAGGCATCCCTGCTGTGGTGTTGTGTGTGTTAGGTACGTCTTTGCTGCAGCCACCAAACTTGAATGCTAGCCCAGGTACTCATGTGCTAGTCTAGGCAGCCTTCAAATGAGAGTCCTTTGCATCTGTATGTTTAAAGTGTATTATATTTTCTAAAAGTCCTGTAACATTAATACTTTAGAGAAGCCGTGTTTCTCAGTTTATCTGTCCTTAAAGTAAATACATGTTGTCGGACTGATAGAAGCTGATGAGCTTTAATCCTGAAATGAGTGTTTTGCTGATTTGATGTTTCTTTCATTCTAGTGAAAACTTATGAGGACATGACTCTGGAAGAGCTAGAAGAGAATGAAGATGAATTTAATGAGGAAGATGAGAAAGCAATTGAAATGTACAGGTCAGAGCAGCATACAGAATTTGGTATTAGTGAAAACTGGAGGTTTTTTCTTTTATATGCTGTTAGATATTGCTGAAGAGGGGAAGGATGTTGTTAGGCCTGATGACGGAAAAAGTGGGTTGTGTTTCTGGTGTCTTGTAGAGCTTCTAAATATCTTTAATAGGATAAATGCATTTTAAATTCAGTGTCCTTTATCTACAACCTACTTTTGCAGAGATAATGTGCACCTGCTGAGTGCATGGCTGGGGATTCTGAGAGCTTTGAAAATCACCTCCAAGACTTCTCAATTTTTGCATGAGTGAGATTAAGGTGCTGCAGATTTACATAATTACAGTGTTGGCTTTCCATTATCTCTTTATCTCTACCATCTCTCTATTTTTTTGATACTCAGTTTGCTAGTATAGTGTAGTATTGTGTCTGCTGAGGGCAGAAATGAGGGGAAAAATAATTAATGAAACATAATTGTACTTCTTGCATGTTGGCAGTTTAAACTTGTGATGCAAATACTAGAGCATCTGTTGACTGTGTAAACTTGCTTTTGTTGCTCTGGGGTTTAAAGAAGTTTGTAATGCGTCTCTAACATACAGGTTTCAAGTAGTTGCTTTAAGTGTTATTCTGTCAAAAATGCATCTATTCTCAAGATCTCTTTCCCATTCCTTGCTGTTCAGGCAGCAGAGGTTAGCAGAAATGAAAGCAGCGCAAATGAAGAATAAATTTGGGGAGGTTTTGGAGATTTCAGGAAAAGATTACATTCAAGAAGTTACGAAAGCTGGAAAAGATATATGGGTAGTCCTGCACCTCTACAAACAAGGGTAAGAATTTGTTTTTAAACTTTAAACCTCTTGCTGTCAGTAGTTGAAAATACTCTGGACAAATACATGGTATTGTGGAGATTAAGGAACTGATTCTGGAGTTCTGAGAAATAAAAAATTGAATTAGTAATTTCATTACCGTTGACTCAAGACTGCCAAACTTAGCCCTAAAATGATGTTACCATGAAGAACCCTTTTTTTTTTTGTACATCTGTATAGCACAGCATGACTTGTACCTTACAGCTACCACAGACGTAGCTGCTGCACTGAAATATCCAGGTTTTGGAAATTATTCCAGATAAGGTGTGAGGGTCTGTGCTTTAGAAGGATCACTGTGTACCTTACTCTGGTTTCTAGAGGCATTAAAAAGGAGTGAACCATGTTTCCAGTCCTGTCAGCATGATGGAAGAACATGCCTGATAAGTTGCCAGAATTTTCTGGAAAGGGTTAGAAGTATTTGATTTTGTTCATTATCTCTAATTGCCCAACAGGTGTTTGTTATCATTTGCATACTTTCTTCTGGGAAAGATTTTGCCCTTGCTCATGCAATTTCTAAATATCATATCTTCATAAATCAATTTATCTGTATGATAGAGGGAAAGGTTGTATTGCTCATATCTTAAAACAAAAAAACCCCACCACTCACCAAAACCTCCAGTGATGCTGATTTCCTTTGAACACTGGAATATTGGACAACAAAAGTGTTCAGAAGCTGCTTCTGGTAAACTTCTCTTTCCGTAAATCCTACTTATTGAGCTGATATTTCTGACCTTTCTTCGGGAGCGGATTACTGTCTTTTTACCATACATGTGTCTCTTGCTGTTCACAGAATTCCACTCTGTGCCTTAATAAATCAACATATGAACGGGCTTGCAAGAAAGTTCAGAGATGTGAAATTCATCAAAGCTATCTCTACCACCTGCATTCCCAACTACCCTGATAAGAACCTGCCTACGATATTTGTCTACTTGGAGGGAGACATCAAAGCTCAGTTCATTGGGCCTTTGGTGTTTGGTGGCATGAACCTGACAAGGGACGGTGAGTGGCTGCATCTCCCATCTTCTAAAGGAAAAGCAAAATTACTTTGCTGGGAATGAGAGAAGAAAGGTTTAGGAGGAGAAGGAAGGTACTAAAAATTATATTGGGGTTTTTTTCCTGCACCTTTGTAGCTCAGCAATATGCGATTAAGGCTTCTTGTAAAAGCAATGAGTGGCTGAGTAGGCCAACATACTGATACTAATCATGTGTGTGGAAGTATTCACACCCTGTGTTGGGTGAAACAAATTTTCCTGAATATATTAAAGAGTAAATAGTGCCCACACATATTCTTTGGGGCTTTTGTACCTGAATGACTGACCTTGCCCCCAGTTGCTGAATAATCTGTGCACTTGATAACTGGTACTTGATAACTGGTGCTTGCCTACTGCATTGTAGTGCTCCTTGTTTCAAGCTGATGGCATGCAGTTACCTGTTGTACTTCCCTGACATGCAGGTTCTGCTCCTCGTGAACCTTTAAAGAGAGCATGTCTATTTGTCCAAATGGGTCTGCTAGCCTGAAACTGGGCTACTTCCCTTTCCTTTTGCCATCTCCTGGAGATGGCAGCATGTTAAGCTCCTGCCTCAATAGTTCGGGGGCGTAGGGCTCCACGGGGAGAGGCTGTTACTTTTCCTGGAGGTCATAGTTTTCCATAGACCTGTTTCTCCTTGCCTGTCTCAGTAGCCTGGAGACAGGCTGGGTTGTGCAGCCTTGTCAGCATGATGTGCTTCAGAATGTGATGAGGGCAGTGATGCAGGTCTTGGAGCACTGTGGCTGTTCAGCAAAAACTACGGTTTGGAGGTGGTTGGTTGGGGATGGTGTCCTACAGCAGTGCTTGAAGACAGAGATCAGCTGTGAAAAAGGTTCTTCTTGGAAAGCACATGCAACTTGTATGTAACCTAGTGGATTTTACTTCAGTTAAAAGGATACTCATGAGCTTTCTGACTAGGTATATTGATCCAGATGCCTTAAAGCTTTTTCTTTTTCTTTTTTTTTTAAGGTCAGACTTTAAGGACATCTTTATCTGAAGTGAGCAACAGTTAAGCAGCATTTCAGGGTCCCTGCTGGGTTATATCACTGTCTGTACTGGGATAGGATGCAAAGAGATTTGTTTTTTCTTTTTACTAAAACCCTGAAGTTTACAGGATACTTTGAGCATGTGCTGTAGAAAATGCTTCCCTGCCTGGAAGTGTCAGAAGGGGAAAAGCTCACCAGTGGGATCACTGATTTGGGAACAGCTAACTGACTACAGCGCTTGCTTAATTATGTGCTGAAGTGAGCAGTGGTAGCAGAACCTGTAGTTATTTCTCCCACTTTTAGTGCATAAGTAACTGATTTTGGGGGATGTCTGAGCTAGCTTACTTCAGTCATCACAGAAAGCTGGGCACTGGAACTCTGCACCTTCTTTTATTTCTTTCTTCCTTCCTTCTCCCCTAAGTCCAGGTGACTTCTACCAAAGATTAAAGAAAATATGAGGTTGTATTCATTACTCTGTAATTTCTGAAGGAAATTTGATTTAATGATAGGTTTGCAGCAGAAGTAGGAGAAAGGTTTCAACTGAATGTGTTGTATTGAATTTCTACTGCTTCTGGGAAGCAATCCAGTTTGGGCCTACATAGTAATAGGCCTACTACTGATGGTGGAGTCTCTCTTTCTGTCTTGCCAAGGAACTAATAAGCAGGGCATGGTGTTATAGGAAAGGAGTGAATTGCATTTACAGAATATATCTCTGAAAAATACCTGTAATTCTGATGTGTCAGTGGAATTGCTACAATTTTTTTGCCCCTCCACAGGTCTATTCCCTGACTCTTCTGATTGGGATGAACTCTGTATATGATGGAAACAGCTGTAATATATGAGCAGTACTCCTTCACTGGGGATAGATGTGAAAACCTGTCTTCTGCCCTTATGTGGTTAGAAGGAGGTTGAGTTTGCTTTCACTCAGAGAGTTACCTCTAAAGCTGCTGCTTGGTGTCAATCACCTCTTTTGCACTCCTGGTTGTAAAGGGAGCAGGGAGGCACCGGGAATGCTACTGGTGGGCTGCAGAGCAGTACCCCTGTGCCCTGGACTGAAACCTGTGCCAGCAGTAGTGACCGTGTGAATGTAGGGCTCAGCTGGAGTGGGTGTAGGACAGGGGCTGGGGCCTGGGTGTGGAAGAGAAGGGAAAGGAATAGAGCAGGGCCCTGCTTTTGGTGGTAAGAGAAAGCTGGAGAAGCTAGGGTGGCCTTTTTCCAGTTTGCTCCCTGCGTTCATGGCTCTCTTGTTTTGCTCTATGCAGAATTGGAGTGGAAGATTTCAGAGTCAGGTGCCATCAAGACTGACCTTGAGGAGAACCCCAAGAAGCAGATCCAGGACCAGCTTATGTCCTCAATCAGAGCACGTGTCCCAGCCAGGAGTGAGAGTGACTCAGAGGATGACTAACTTCTGCAGCAGCATCAAGTACTTTGGAAGCCAGTGTTCCCACCTAGAGTACTGGAGACACCCATGAAGATCTCACTAAGCCCCAGAAGAGTAGTATTTCAAGACAAACATTTATCTAGAAACTTTTAGAAACTAAAAAAGTTTTGAGGTTTTTTTTTGGTTGTTTTTTTTTTTTTTTTTTTTTTTTTTTAAAAAAGACCAACTTAACTGCAGATTCACTTAAGATCATGAAAAACGTTTTATATTAAGAAGCCTAAGTAAATATGACTCAAAGTTTTAAAATACAGACTTCAGTATAAACAGGTCTCATTATTTTCTTAGTAAATTGCTGATCCAGGAAAAAAAAAAAGGGAAATATAAGCTGGTCTTAAACAACTGGTTATAGCACTTAGTTGGGCCTTGGCTTGGCTTGTCATGTCATGTGTATATGTTTGACAGCCTGGACTGTGTGGAGAGATAGGGAAGGTGACCCAGGATGCATGTGCTACTGAAGGTGACATGTGGTCCTTTACAGAGGTGTGCTGTCAGGGGAGCCAGCACAAGGCCACAAACTGGAACCCCAGACATCTTGAGAGAGGCCTTGGTGATGGCTAGCATCTCCCAGGACCTCGTGAGTCCAGAACCCTCTTTCATTTAGCAGCAGTATTTTGCCTTTAACAGGGACTGAGTTTCCTGCACCATCTTTTCTGCTAATTAGGGGAGAAAAAAAAAAGCAAGATGGTGGTGCTCGAGTGAAACTACTGACTTCTTCCACAAATCAAAACTCCGATATGTTACTACAGTAGTGCCATTGTCAAATGGCAGAGAAAATTATGTTTGAACACCTGATGTCTTTCTATATTAAAACCTTTTGTCTTCTAGGTAATTATAATTGAAGCCTTAGAAGAGAATGAACTGAAATACCACCTTAATTACAGATCTGCTGACACTCAGAGCTGCTTGCTTATTTTGGGTTGCATTTAGTGTCTGCCTACATTCTCAATTTGTCTACACTTGGGCTAACAAGCTCCAAGAGCTTTTGCTAACAAGGCTGCCCTAAGGGCAGCGAGTTACATTGCTGATGGATTCTGTAGGTGGATGGTATAGAATGTAACAATAAGCAATTTTTGAATAGTTTTGTATTGGTTCATAGCGACTTTAAAGCATGTTTCCTGCACTCTGTCTTCCCAGTCAAAATCAGTGTGTGTTTCAAACAACAAATAGCTGTGTTCCTTCAGTTTCAGGTGAAGTTGTAAAATCCTGACAGAGAGCTTCCTCTTTGAGATGTGGAAGGTGTTTTGAGTGACTTAAGTCTCTTTTCTTTGGCTTTTTTGGGCCTTTTTGGTGGTGGTGTTTTTTTTTTTTTTTGGTAAAATATTAACAATGTACAAGTCAGCCAAATGCAGCAGAATACAAGCTGATAAATCCTGAATACTATTGTACATAGCACCACACTTCTCACAAGACTGGACTGTCCAAAGTGCTATCAGACCTGATGCTTTTCTGTACTTACAACTTCTTACAATCTAGGTAGATGACAACTCTTTCTCCCCGCAGAACCGTGCATTTGCTTATTTTGTTTATCTTTTGACTGTCCTCACTTACCTGTGCTTTGGTGACCTCTGAGCATGCGGATTGGATTCCTTTTGGAGAAAAGTATCTAGAAGAACCCCCCCAGCCCATCACCCCAAAGGTAAAGTCAGTCCCAAAAGCTAAGCTAAAGCTAACCTGAAATAAGGCCCTACAAAATGGGTGTAGAGTGAATGTCACACCCTCAGCCTTTCCCTCCAGATCTGCTGCAGTTGAGCTGTCTGTATTGCTGATGCAGACACAGCTGCCATACTCTTCTCAACTTGTTTTTAATTTCTTATCAAACTGTTTAGGGAGGGAGGTGAGATCTGCAATTCATCTTGTACCATATTTTGACAACTTCAATTTGAAGTCCAATTTTAAAAGTAGACAGTGCTTTGGATACTTTTTTTTTTTTTCTTTTTTTCCTTCTGCTACTGCCTGTTCTATTGTCTCCCACTTCAGCACCTCTATGGAGGCACAGTAGCGGTGACATTGCAGCTGCCTTTTCACTGCCTTCCAGACCACTGGTGATTCATGGACCACAGCAGGAGAGGAGCTCAAAGCAGGATGAGGACTGCATTTGGATGAGGGTGATGTGGGGTCTGATCTTGGAAACATCTAGGGATAAAGACTCCTCAAGTTGTCCCAGTGCTTGACTGGCTCTGGGGCAGCCCTCAGTTCTTTGCATTTTGCACAGGACAGCACAGGCAGCAAAGCTTTGAGCTAGAATAACTGCAGAGGAGGCTGTTGTCCTGAGCTTGGTCCAGAGCTGCTTGTTCAATCAGGAGAACTGGTGTTTCACAGACAGACATCCTTAGGGTACTAAACATAGATCTGCTAGAGCTAATTGACAGAGAAGGATGAAGAATAGAGTGCATCTTGTGACCAGACCATACCGGCTTGCTAGGACCTTAGCCGGTGGCTCCCAGCTTAGATTATGTGGCTTGAATGCCCTTCTGGAAGGGGAATGCTGATAGCCTTTACTCTGCAAGCCTTCCTTAGAGGCTTCCTGTTTGCTCCTATCCACACAATGTGGATAGGATTCTTGTTCCCTAATACGTAAAGTAAGATATCTTAGGTGGGATGGTGTCCCCAGATAGTGTCTGGTTGGTGTCCATCAACCAGAAGTGGCTGGTGAATGAAGCACTGCTTTGGTGCAGGCTTGAGCCCCTCAGGCAAAAGTAAGACTTAAACTGAACTGCTAATGTTTTTGGCATGTGGTGTGATAAACCCTTAGATAAGTAAGAGTGGAAAGTGGGATTTTGAGCTGTTTCCATCACAGTCTTTGCTTCCAGCAGGGTCTTAAAACCATAGCTGCCTTCCGCTTTTGTATGGAATCTAATGGATTTTGTGGGCTCTGGGCCCACCAAGAGGACTGAGCTCCTGAAGAGGACCATGGCTGCATATGGGTATCCTGTTCCCCCAGGCTGCTCAGCTGTGGTGAGCTGCATACCCTGAGCCCGTGAATGATGCTTATGGCTCCCCCAGATAGAAGTTACATATTTCCCTAAAAAAAACCCCTACGAGAAGCGAACCTGGCCTGCCTGGGAGATTTACCAAGGAGACTAGGCAGGCAAGGGTTAGATTATCTCTTCTTCTAGCCTACTTCCTGCTGTTGGGTCTACAGCCTTGCCATTTCATAGGTGGCACCGAGCAACGTGTAACAATTCAGGAAAAATAGAGACAGTTTCATCATAGAGTCATAGAATGGTTTGGGTTGGAAGGGACCTTAAAGCTCATCTAGTTCCAGCCATTGTCCAGCAGGGACACCTTCCACTAGACCAGGTTGCTCAAAGCCCCATCCAACCTGGCCTTGAACACTGCCAGGGATGGGGCAGCCACAACCTCTCTGGGTAGCCTGTTCCAGTGTCTCACCACCCTCATGGTTTGACTTGTAGTATTGTCTATCCTTAGCTACTTAATGTGTTGACATGTTGAGGGATGCCATGCTGAACGGGGCTGATGCGAGAATAATCATAAACAGGAAGAGGATGAATGTACTGCCCAGCTGCTGAGACCCATGCAGAGCATCATTTCAAATGGTGTCTGTTCTTACTAGTATTTGGCTAAATGTGAAAACAGCTTCTTGCAATCTTTTCTTTCCTGCCAATCATATTGCCATGCTTAAGGCCTTTTGTAGAAATCAGGTCTCTGCAGGAAATGGATAATGACATCTATTTAACCTTTTGGCAGGGCAGAAGCTATGGAAGCATGCAGTTAAAAGGAATGAGCTTTAGCTTAAAAGGAAGCCAGCTGCTAAACAGCAAACCAAAACAGCCAATTAATATACATAGTAGATTTAGGCAATATAATAGGAGGGAATAATGGGAGAGTATGAATTCTCATTTGCTGAGAGTTGGGGTGCTGTTGCTAAATGCACTAGTAATATTTTTGCAGCTGGTCAACAGTTAATGTCAGATCAGTGCTCGCTTCTCACTACTGTGAGAAGGGTCTTTCTGTCAGCTGTCATGGGAGAAGTCAGAGGCAGAGATCCTGTAAACGATGCTGACGCTTGAGTCCTGCATACGACTGTGAAAGCATCTCTGACTCATCCCACCCTGCAGCCGTGCCAGCAGGTGTATGTGTGTGTCTGAGAAGTAATCCTGAGCCGTAGGCAGGGGCAGATGATTTGCCATTAGCAGACAGTCATTCTGAAGGATTTTTTGTGTGAAACGTAAGTGAACCGCTAGTAATAAAAAGGGTTTTCTTCATGGTACAGGTCTGAAGTCTACTTCTTACTCAAGTTACGTAAGCAGCCACGTTAGGTTCATAGCAGGCTGCCCTGGTCCAAGTAAGTCACCACTCTGATTTTCCTTTACCTGGACCTGTTTGCATTCACAATCTGCACTCGCCAAACCCTGCCGAACTTTTTATATCCACTTCATATGCCAAGGGAGAGACAGGTCTTGTGAAAGCAGGGCAAGGCTGTGGTAAACTGCCAGTTCTCCAGGTACTTAATCCAAACATGGTCAGGGGACTGCACATAAGCACAAGCGTCTGCAGGATGCAATCACAGAAGGTGAAATTGAGTGTCCTTTGAATACCTGTGCTGTGCCATACTTGTTTTGGTCAGGTCTTTGTTTCCCCAGGCTTAGCTCAGTCTCACCTGTCTCCTCTTCTGGTCTGGCTCACCACTTCCCAAATGCACTCTAGGTGGATATTTGGTTAGCCTCACTGCTGGGAGTAGTTTAGGTGAGATGATTCATTATGAGAAAGCTCTGCTTGACTAGGCTACAGAATAAGTACATGATATTAAGCCGTAAATCAGCATGACATCTGAGCACTAGCATTTGTCTTTATATAGAGTTCATGAAGAGGGTAGCTCTGATCTACAGCAATTCCCATGAAAGTCAAGATGTACTTTTTATTCCTGTGTTATAATCTCAACTTCACAATAATTTGTCATTATTCTCTGGAAGTCTAGGGAAGTTGCACACTTCATAGGAACGTAGCAATGGGAAATGAGACTTCTATTAGAAAGCTCAGTAACTTAGTTTGGACTGCCTCTTGTTTTGTGAAGGGGGTTAAAAAAAAAAAAGCACCGTTATCTGAACCTTTTGCTGCATATTTGTTTGGCTCAGACCACATCTAAAGAAACTTTG